ATACTTTACTGAGCTGACTTAGATTGAAATACAATTATGTTGACACAAAGTGATGCGATCTACTAGCATAATAATAAAACAACGAGTCGAATGTCGAACAGCTTTCAGGATGAGTTTTATAACATACAAAAGCTCGCGGAACAGTTTTGGCATATAAGATTAATACTCATACATTTAATTTACCTGACCTTTTAAAGCTCATATTGCTTTGATCGTTATCTCGGGCCATTTATAGCATAAAGCATGTTTCAGGACAATTTATTGCTAGACCTATCTTTAGTTAACGATCATTTATGCATAAACTATTTTTAGTAGACCGCATTTCTTCTTCATTCCATTCGCTACTGCTGTAAAAAATAAACCCAATAAAACAGATATTGTTATATTATACATATGCCTATGATTTCATATACCCATGTCATTGTTTCATTGTTTCTTCATTCTTGATATTATTATTATAATTGTTTTTATTATTATTATGATTATTATTGTTATTATTATTATTATTACTATTACTATTATTAATATTATTATTATTATTATTATGTACGTACGATTATTATCTTTATCATCATCATAATCATCATCGTCATTATTATTACATTCTTACAATTACAAAATATTATTATTATCATTATATTATTATTATCATTATCCTCAATATTACTACCATTACTATTATTATATCCTTTTACATTATTATTATTATTATTTTTATTATCATTTATCCAGTTTGTGTGTCCTGCCCAATTATCAGAAAGCGTTAATTGTAAGTCTTGAATTTTTAAATATTAATATTATTTTCGGGCAACGGCACAAACAACGATTAAAAAAATATTCCTTTATGGTAACAAGCCAACAAATATGTAAATAGGGATTTGTAACAACGTCACGGAATAGACCGTAGAAAATACGGAGTAGTCCCGAAGAGATGAACGTAAATCCGGGTATCTCTAGGCCTAAAAATAATTACAAAATACTCACTTTAAATATGTCTGCGGTTAAAATGAAGGTGAATTCAGACAGGGAAGGTAGATCATTTGCTGACTATGTAGTATGCCTAGCTATTGCTATGCCTCGCCTATTTCCGTGAGAAAACATTTTTATAGACTTAACGTTTTCCGTTTCCATTAACGATGGGAAATATAAAAAATGCCAAGGCACAGCAAGCATAGGCACAATTCCATAAGCCTAAACGAAACTTAACCCAAAGCCAGAAGAAAACACGTAGGCCTATTACATTTGGTAATAGTAATGGTATTATACTTGAAAATAGAAAGCCCATAATGCAAAACCATCCGTATGCTCTAATAAACCACACTCCAAGTGAAATTAGATTGGAGATGTAGTGAGGGGATGAATTATGAGTGATGGAATCATAAGAATTTAAAGTTGATTTTCCAACAACCTGTCGTTAAGTGTACACTTACGACTTTACTAGCGCGTAGCCTAAAAGTGTCAGAAAACGACCTTACTAGACAAACTCAATTCGAGGCTTGCGCTGTATGGTAAACAATGCAGAAAGAAAATATTTTTACGATTGCCTTCTGATCCAAGGGGATGTTCCTTGGTTTGTTTAAATTAGGCTAAAACCAGGATTTCACTTCCCACGTCTAACAACTCCGCTTTTGTCTTGAGTCTTATGTCAATTGACTCGCTGGTGACAATGAAATGAACTACAAATTGTAAGCCAACAAAAAGGTCGTGAGAGGGTCGTAATGTAATTACGAAAATAACTTCATGTTTTCTTACATACTATTAGCGATGTTTAGTGTTCTACTATTCGTGGACTACAGTATTTTATTTCGTTTTGTAAAGAAAATCCACATTTTAAGTAAGAATTAATTAAAAGATTTATTGTAAACTTTACCAAAGTACTGCACTTAAGTATTTTACTGCCAATCATATACTTAAGTACGTCAACAGAATTTCAACCACAGTTCAAGCGACAATAAAGGCTTATCGCTGCTGTTATTAAGTTTAACGCGTTCAACCAATCACAAGCTGACTAGAGTTCGGGTAGTTTACGATTGCGTTACATAGACTGAATTTGCGGGCTGACAATTAACGTGACTACGTGGTGCTGCCACTTATGGCATCAAGATCATCACGTATTTTCTTGATTCAACGTAGACGTAGACATTTTCCTTCAGCGGCGGATCACGAATTTTTTACCGGGGGTCAGGAGGGGAGCGAGTGTCAATTGAGGACCTGAGTTAAAGGAGGGCGGATTGCAGATTTTCTTTCATTAGGATTAGATAATTCTTTTATCGGTTCCCAGGAAGTGAGATTTCAAAATCAATGAATGTTGTGAAAATAAGTACATTTTACTTTCGAACGAATTTAGAAAAAATACGGTACTATGTAAATCAAATTGGAAAAATGAATATTTATGTGTAATCAAGACCATTCCTGACAAATTCAGGCATATAAAACATTCTAAAATAATTATAATTTAATATGACAGACGATTTTTTAATATTTAAAATTTAAAAAAAAGTACATTTAACATAAACAAATTATTATTAATAAAGTAATTATTGTCGTTGTTTTGTTACTAGCCTATCATTATTATACATGTACAACATGTACTTTTCTTAAATTTCTCCTAGCATTTTTATTGTTAAGTGCATTGAGGCTATAAGCCAAAATTATTATTATTATCATTATTATTATCATTATTATTATCATTATTATTAATATTATCATTAGGTTTATCATGATTATTATTAGGCCTATTATTATTATTTATTATTAGTATTTATTATTATTATTATTATTATTATTATTACTATTATTATTATTATCATATGGTCACATGAACAAAAACATGAGGTTATGTGTTCGATATTATTAAAGTGAAAGATGTCATATCCATGGACATGACTTTTTTTCACTGGGCTACAACAACAACATTCTTGAGAAGGTAAAACATTAGATTTCTCGGATGTTATTCATTACTTGTGTAATAGCCATGCTGTCAGGACGCTAATTTGCGGTTCTTCATTAAACAGGAAACAAAGTAACTGGAAGGTAAGTTTCATAGTTGGTGTTTGAATGCAAGTTGCATTATCCTGTAAATTTCATTTCACAGTCCAGTGTTAAATAACAAATTAATTTTCATTCAACAGCGAACCAAATCCAGGATGCAATATACTGTATTATGACTCTAGTTTATATTTTTACAATTGCAACATTTAAAAAAAAATGGTTTCAATATTTAAAAAAATTGTAAAATAAGTCAAATACATTTAGAGAACTTTAAACTTTTAATACAATGCAATGCAGAAAAATCCTTCTGTTACGTTATAATATTAATACACATATTAATTAATAAATATATATATATATATATATTTGAATATATATTTGATTTATCATTATATTATAATAACGTCACCTGATTATATTATATAATACACATAGGCTATGCAGCATTAAAACAAGCGCCAAAGAAAATGATACTTATCTTCATTCGTTCATCTTTAAATTATTACCACAATCTAATTTACATAGGCTACATACAGTTGTGTGGTACCATATTGTAGATATTTTAACTAAGTATATTACCAAGTCTTATGTTAAAAGATGAAAGAAGGTATAGGAACAATGCTTTAAACAATAATAGTATTAAGGTATAATATAATAACAATAGGTTATTTATATTACATATAATCCAAATAAACAAGGTCTCTCTTGCAGTAATGCAGTACTGTATAATGTAGGCCTATTATATTATGTACGTTATTGAAGAGGAACACCTCAAAGTTCAAACCGATGGGTTTGAGTTCCATTTGGAGCAACCTCACTATCACTGATTCCTCTTCTTTATCGTTTACAATGCATTATACGTTTCCTGCCTATATAAAATTGCACCCGCCAATTCGAGATCCCTCTAACTGCAGGCTATTCTTTTTTAATAAATACATAAATAAATAAATAGGCATCAAGCATCCAGGCAGCTTTTCAAGAAAAGTCTCTTTATCAGAAAGCATCTCTGGCATGGAATCGAACCTGTAACCAGAATATTTTGCATATTAAAACCATATTTTTACATATCTTGATCTAGGCATACTAATGGAAGTCACCTTCAATCGGATTTGAATTTAAAATAAAGCCTGGCCTAGTTCGAGTTCGAATCTTGGTTAACACTCTCGCGGACTTCCTCAACTCCACCGTTTACAATAATGATACATTTCCAGCATTAGCTTACAATAAGCTACTTACTGTCTGCTAAAATTAGAAAAACACCCACTTGATAAAGATCATATATATAAGTTAACAACTTTCAATACTATATAGAGAGAAATTGGTATTTTACTGATATATTTTAAAGCATATTCTTGATTACCAAGTGTATTTTAAGATTAGTATACTGTAAATGGTTCTTCAATATATAGGCCTAGACTAATTCAACTGAAGACTAGATGAAATTCTCCCAAGTATATGTTAAGGTATTGGCCCTTTGCAAAGTATTTGGTCTCACTTTCTCTATTTGGAGTCACTTTTGTTTTATTGTATATGTTTATATAAATAAATAAATAAATAAATAAATATATATATATATATATATATATATATATATATATATATAGTATATATCGTAGCATATAATACTGCGTAACGGTAATATCAGATACGTAAAATCAATGTAAATGTCAAGTGTTGACTAAGACTACAGGAGTATATTCGTTGAAATAAATGTTTAGTGTTTCTAGAGTCAACATTTTACGTATCTCAGTTTTTATTACCGTTACGCAGTATGTTTCGAAACACACGTGGACACATCTTCTTCATTGATATGGATACGCAAAATCAATTTGTATGTCAAGTGTTGGCTAAGACTACAAGAGTATATTCGTTGAAATAAATGTTTAGCGTTTCAAGCCAAAATTGTACGTATCTAAGTTTTTACTACCGTTACGCAGTATCATATTATATGTTTCGAAACACACGTAGACATACGTGTACATACATACATAGGAATAAGTAACACTACATACAAATATATATATAAATATATATAAGATTATATATATATAAATATATATATCTATATAAGATAATATATTATAATACAGGCATTCTTTATGTTAACTGCATGACAAGCTAAGTCAATAAATTATTAAGGTTCAAATATAAAATCATGCAATTCAAATATTGAACTTTATTCTTGCAAGCTTATTATTCGACAGACAGTATCTTAAAAATCATCTAGCGAGGAAGTAAGGAGGAGGCTAAAAATTCAATTAAATTATTTGATTATTTTTTTTAAACGAGATCGTCTGAGCCGGTAAAATGACATCGGTGATAAGGGAGGGGAATCCACCAACCGACATCGTTGCAGCGTTGTTTCATGCTCTACTCCGATGTAACGAAAAGAACTATTTAAGCGAATTTGTCTGAAAGAAAATGGGCTGCCCTGAGCCAGGAATAAGCAACACCACACACAAATACTCAAAGTTAAATGTTCTAATATTTATGTAAATTATTAAACACTAAGGGAGAATAAAACGGATAATCTTCAATGCTTTGGTCTACTAAAATGAAGTGCATAATTATAGATTGACTTGACTATTTTTACATGAAACGACTCAATAAATTAGAGTGAAAATGGCATGGTTTTAATGGGTCTTTTTCTGATTGCATTTTTAAACTTACATGCGAAGCATTCCCATATAAACCAGGCTACACGCAGGGTAAGTCATGCATTTAACTCATTTTCTATCCTATTTTAAATATTTATTATATACACTACATTAATTTTGAGTCATGCAATTCTATGGATTTGACACACAATGTGTATGATCCCAACCTCATTCGGTGTTCAATATTATATCAATCTGCGTATGCCACTGCCGATTATGACCTAGACTATAGCAATCCAGACCTAATTCGTAAATCTCTCATTAGCTAGTATTACTTTGTCTATCCTTAGCATAATGTTTTACCTTGCATCCGGGTTTGAAAACTATTTTATTTTTGACCTTGGTGGTTACTATTACAAGACGATAAAAACGTTATACTAGTTTAGTTTTGTGTTGCAAAAAAACGCAATAGAACTTGACATTGTAGCAAGCATTGTCTATGCTTTTTAATCCAGAAACTAATCATGTTTCATTAACGCTATCGCTCATCTTCGACGACACGGACGCGTTGATTAGAATTCCCCGTTGCATTTAAGCAAGATAAGGAGGATCCTAAGAAGAATAATGCTTATCTTATTGAAAAGGCGTTTCCTCGACAAATTTTATGTGTGCCTAATCTTGGTTAGTATACCAAAAAGGTCATGCAATAATGGCAATGTTGTAGCATAATATAAATTCATGCAACTTTAAGGTTTGTTAAAAAAGTTTCCCGTAGTGGCAGTGGCCTATATATCACACTAATCACAAAATAGTACACGGTGTCACTCGGCAATGCGGGCCATCCAATCTCCGGGGGCGCTGTTACAATGTGGCAGTTCAGGCGGGGATCTCTTCCAAGTGAAGCAAGCTCCTGGTCAAAATGTTGGGATACATTGAAAACAATTTTATTGTCGACCTAAATATTTTGAAAAAAAAATGTAAATTTTGTGAGTATGATATCTAGATACACAACAAATTATAACACAAATTTAGAAAGTTGTATTCACAAAAAAACAAACTTATGACATTTTGAAATATGTAATTAAAAATTACAGTCTTATAAAATAATCAAACTGAATTACATAATCTTGAGAGGTAACCCTTATCTTTGTAAACAGGTATTTAGGGTTATTAGAACTTGTCATGGCCACAGAGATCTAGATAAGAATAAGTGTTGAGAACTGATATTAAATAAATAAATATATAATAATATTATAAAAATAGAATCTTGGAAGTATTAACCTGACCTATTTTGCTAGGTTATCTTCTTCGCATCTCTACAACTGGTAATTAGGTGGATGTGAACAAGATGGGTCAATGGTAAGCACCGAGTGCTCCACCATGCTTACGAGGAAGGTGGCGAACCGGTATTGCATGGTGATGGTGATTACAGGATAAGGCCTTAAAATGCCAGACGGATATGAAAGTACTGGAAACCTTTAATTGTAAACCACGGTTTGGCGCAAATGGACGTGGCTCGAATTCTCAACCTTCAGGTCGAGGGTTCGAAACTTTTTCTGTTCCAGATTTAAAAGAGGCTTTCTTGTCTTAGAAGAAACATGTGAAATATGATTTTTTCACTTACCTGTTGCAAGAACGTAGCACAATAATTTACAACATATTAACTGACAAAAATAAACTATCTGAAACAAACATAAACAACACATTAAATATTTTAAGAAAACCATCTCTTTAATATTTCCTTGAATCGCATTTACAAGGAAGGCGTTACTGTCGACTGATATATTGTAATTTGTATACAGAGGCGGATTTTCAGGGGTAAACCCCTTCCCTAAATCTTTGACAATTACAAAAATGGGGGTTGGGGAGAAAGGTAAGTTGAGAATGCCATTTCTGGCAATCTAGGGGTGCGAGAGACATAAATTTCCGTACACTCAGCCCCTTATATGGTGGGTGCTCAGGGACCGTACAAATGTACTGTACAATTCCATGCCCGGCCCCCTCTATTCAGGGGTGGTGTCAACCTTTGCCAGACATTTATGTACATAAGTCATTCTTATATAGTTTTCTCATGTAGGCATATATGTGCATTAATCAGAATATTTTATCAAATTATTGGTCGATGTATTGGCCTAAGGTAGAATTGCCAAAACGTAGTGTCAATTATTCTAATTGTACTGTATTATTGTCAATTTTAAATACCTTTTTTCTTTTTACATAGTCATCTTAAATTTGGTACATTGTCTTTTGAGGTTGGATGCTGGGTTTTTATATTTAAGCAATTAAAATGTAGTCTGTAAGAACATTGTGATTTCATGTTCTCTAGTGTTATTGTTTTATATTTGTATAAGGGTCATGTACTTTAAAGCCTGCTTGTTTGTAGTGGTCCTTTTCCGGAGGCACGAGGTCGAATTGCCAATCATTTTCGATGTACTTGTCTACTATATGAACACAATTTCTCAACAAATTAATTTCTATTCTTAACAAGGCCTATAGCCATTTTAATTTTTGGATTGTCTTGTGAGTTGGTTGCGAGAGTTCTTATATTTTAAGTAATTAACATTTAGTGTCTTATTTATTGTCATTTTATGTTCTCTCTTGTTATTGTATTTCTATTTGTACAAGGGCCCTGCACTTAACATCCTCTTGTTCGTTGAGGTCCGTTTCCGGTGTATAAATAAATGCATTTATGTACTATTTCCTTTAAAATATTGCGAACAATGTATTTGAATGTTGAAATACAATGTACAGATCACTTGTAAAATCTTGAATAAATATTACTTGAATCTAGAACTGTGTACAGTAAATAATAGCCACTATAATGTTTACCAGCATCAATACTCTATAGGGAGTTTTCGCAAGACGAAAACGATAACGAATACGGTTACGTCAGACCATCAATCCTTCCCCTAGAGTAGAACATATGTCACAGCGTGTATTTTGCATGAATCAAGTATCATATTCAGCTTGTACAGTATATTGTCAAGAACGTTTGAGGCGCGAATGACGATAATGATAATGACGTATTCGTATTCGTAAGGTTGCCAAATCTCCCCATGTTACTAGCACCCAATTTACCAGTACTGTATCTCCTATTGTCTGCAGCTAACTATTTAAAAAATCAGTAGGCTTACCTAAATTATTTAAAAATCTACTGACTTTCCACTGACATGTAGGTCTGTAGCATTAATAGAACATCTAATGCCGCCTATTGTAGTGTTTTAGTCCCAACAAAATGTTGTGTATTGTGATTGGTGCAGGAAGCTACTTTCGTTTTCTCATCGCATATTTTTGGGTACAGGCATACTTGCAGTTGCTTCCTTTTTCAAAATACCTAATAATTGGTGACCATAAGACGAATGAGTGCGAGAATTTATTAGAAATAGGGATAAATAATATATTTTTTAAAATATCACATGTTTCCCTTTGTCTTTTTTTAGAATTCACAATCACATACATATTTCCTACCGATTTACCAGCAAATCAGTGCTGGAATAATTACCGGTATTACGTGTATTGTTAGCCGTACTATTAGGTTGTTTTTTTTTAAATATTTATGTTGTACCTATTTCAACCATAACTTATTGAAGTACTACTTACACGCTTGAAAAAAAATATAGATTTCTGTATAAATTTAACCGAAAAAAAAAATTATCCATAGCTTCCGCTTGCGTGTTCTTCTTAACAAGACAGAATCTCCAAAAAAGTACTTCAAAAAATCATGATACAAAAAGATATGAACTAAATACAGTTTTGAGTAAACAGACTAAATACACACACACATATACATACATACATTTTGAAAATCCCGTCATGTAATTAATTGGTTATATAAGAAGAGAGCGTACCAAATTGATATCTGTTACTTGTGGTGCATCAAGAACTAGTGCTCTTCAACTACAAATGCGCAAAATGAGTGTGGAGGATTGGAGTTACAAACGCAGCCCTAACGGTTAAGGCTAAGGCGTCTGCATAGACAGTGAAAGGT